GCCTTCCTCTTCTGCCCAAGAGAGCGCCACTGCACGGTCTGCAGACAGCACACTGTGCTCAGTCTCTTGGTAGCTTATTTTCTGAATCCTTTCTTGTCTGAAGCTGGAATTTGTTTATTCTTTCTGTCAAGCGTGATTCCTAGTTTGGATTGATGCAGAATTCCAAGGTTGCCACGTTTCCCCCTTAGAATTATGTGAAGATATTTCTCTTTGCTTTGTGACATTTTTAGTGTTGCAGAAAAGATGGCTGATGCTGGCAGCCTTTCTCCTCTGAAGGGAATCTTTTCTTGTTCTGTTTTGTTCTAACTATAAGCAATGGTATTTTCTCATTTTTTTTATTTTCGGAATTTAGACAACTAGTAGGATATGCTTAGGATAGGTCTTTTTCAGTGTCTCTCCTTGACACTGTAGGATGTCTTGCTCTGTATCAAGTCTTTCCTCAGTTTATTCAGTTTTTCCTTATTTTTAAAATCATTGCTTTTGTATCATTTCCATTCTATCCTCTTGGAGTTCATGTTATCAGTCATTAGAGCTCCTACTTTTGTCTTCTTGTCTCCTTGGATTTTCTCTCATTTTCTTGCTCTTGTTTTGACATAATTAATCATTTCTACCTACCTTGTTCTAAGTTTAACAAGGATGGACACAAAGGATGTTTTGGAAAAATTAAAGTTGGGTAAGTGTTTACATATTAAAACTTTTCCTCATCTTTTCTTGAGAGTCCCCATCCATCAATATGAGGTGGCTGTGTTAGTCAGTGTTTACTACCTTACATATTAACGAAATGTGAGGTACACTTCCAGTGCTGGCTGTATGATTAGTGTTGTACATGTTATGTTTGTATTTGTACATTTTATAAAGTGCTTTAGAATGTGTCATGACTGAAAGGCTGTCATTTTAGGTCATGCTCATTTAATTTCACTTATTTAAATCTGGCTTTACCATTTTATTTACCATTTTATTATGGTTTTAGGAGAAACTAATTCGAGATATTGCGCATTGTCATGGAATTTTGATCACTTCTTACTCCTACGTTCGAATAAAGCAAGATGACATTAGCAGGCATGACTGGCACTATGTAATCTTGGACGAAGGGCACAAAATTCGAAATCCAAATGCTGCTGTTACCCTTGCTTGCAAACAGGTATGGCCTCTTATAACAAGGGGGATTTCCAGGTGGATAATAGTGTTTAATTCAGAAAAAACTATCTGCTTCTAGTAGCACATTTATCGAATCTTTCCTGTACCTTTACATAAGGAATTAAAAGTGTACATTTTGCATTAATGCAAAAAATTCCCTATTCTTGCCCTCAATCAGGTTTTTAAAATTCTCATTGCTCGTATTACTTAATGTTTCTTGCAGCCATCAGTTGTTAGAATGTAACCAGATTCAACTCTAATCCATAGTATTTATTTTAAACAGTAAGAAAAATTCTTCCCTATTTTTTCATCTATTATAATTGAAGAATTATAATTGCATAACATGTCTATGTTTTGGGGAGGACCAAAATGATGGCAAGAACTGAAATAATGAATACATGTGTTAAGTAACAATATCTCATGGGAGTGTTTTGGGGTAGGGATGGTGATCATCTATTAAAAGGTGAATTTAATAGAAAGCTATTTTTTCCCCCACAACAGTTCCGCACCCCTCATCGGATCATCTTGTCTGGCTCACCAATGCAGAATAACCTGCGGGAACTGTGGTCACTGTTTGACTTTGTCTTCCCGGGCAAGTTAGGCACGCTGCCTGTGTTCATGGAGCAGTTCTCTGTCCCCATCACCATGGGAGGGTATTCGAATGCATCCCCAGTACAGGTAATGTGTTAAGCACGTAACACTTTTGGCATTTTAATATTTTAAATGTTCCTACTAAATATTACACTTTTTAGCCAAGTCATTCAGGATGTAAGGAAAATGATCAGGCTTATAAATTGATATCTGATGAAAAACCATTTTTGCTTAATAAATCCTATTTTTCCGAGTAAGTTTTAAAAAAATCATGGAAAATATTCACTTAGAGGAAAGCTCTAGAATAAAACTATTCCTTTTGTGATAGAAATTAAACTGTTTTGGTGTTGGTTGTTTCTGGGATGTTTCTGCCAGATAAGAAATAAAAGATGTCATATGATAAGAAAAAGAGTAGTCAGAAATTATGAAAAAGGGAGAATCAGTTCTGGACAGCAGGCAATTTAGTGCAAATTGAGTAGTGTATCTTATAAAGTAGTGAAGAAGCTTAGAAAACAGGACACTGGAGAGGATTGCACGGTTCTGGGAAGACATAATGAGACATGTGTCCCTTAACCTGATTCTGGGAAAATAGGCCATGAAGAGCAAGGGCATTCTAGGTTAGGGCAGCAACATGATCATGGCCACATTGTGTGACTGTGGGCAGTGAAGAGACTGCTTGACTGGACTGCAGATGCTTGTGGGGGAGCAGTGGGAGAGCTGTGGACACCAGAACTGGGGTCCTTGAAAGGGAGGCCAAAGTGCTCAGGGAGGGCAGGACCACTGAAGGCGTCTGAGCAGGAGGCTGGGAGATGGTAGGTAGTTCCTGAGGGTTGCTCAAGCTGCAGGGTAGTCACGGGAGGGCAATTGTACTGAGACCATGGAGACATCAGGGATGAGGGTGATGAGGATCTGGACCTGGACTTGGGTGGTTGTCTGAGAAAGACAGTGGACAGTAAGAAGCACAGGTGGCATTTTTAGGCAGAATAGACAGGATGTGGGGGCTGAGAAGATAAAGGAAATGGGGTAGAGAGTGGTGAGGTTGCTACAGCTGACCCCTGAGATTTAGGCCTGGGTGACTGGAAGAATGGGTTTGTCACGGGCAGGAGTGTAAGGAGGTGAAGCCCACCTGAAGACAGTTTGCGGCCTTTAGGGGTGGGCTCCATCCAGCCTTGGCAGGAGGCAGGGTTTCTGCACGGCCCTCCTCAGGTGAGGCTTGCACCTGCCAGGTTATGGCTGAGCCAAAACTAAAGACTTTCACCACAAGAGACACTCTTGTGTTTTGAAATATTTAATTGGAAAAAGAATTTTGGGCCTTTAAAATCAGAAGATTGTCAAAGGCAATTTTAATACCTTTTACATTATGAGATTGAATGACTTCTGTTAAACTTTCATAAAGGCTCTCTTACTCCTCTGACTCCCTGTTGTCTGTCCTTCATTATACTGCTCTTTTTTTTTTAACTTTTCATTTTTTTATTAGCATATTCATTGTTACAAATCACACTTATTCTTTTTTAAAAAATTTTTATTGAATCAAAATTGATTATACATATTTTTGGGGTTCAACATTGAGGTATGTTGATCAAATTGATATTACTAGCATATATATTGTTACAAATCATAATTATTCTTTATGCCTCTTGTCCAATCCCGCCCCATCTCTCTTCCTTTCCCCCTCCCCACTCTAATCACTCTAGATTTCTTCTCTCCCTCTGAAAGAATAATGGTTACTCTGTTGATTTGCTGCCCAAATGATCTGTCCAATGCTGAGAGGCATGATCAGGTCCCCCGATACTATCATAGAGCAGATGTCTCTTCCATCACTATGAAATGGGCTCTGTGGAGACACACATCCTCCTCCTTTCTTTATCTCTGCTGGTGACTCTCCTTGTGTCAACTCACTCCAGTGGCTGGTGGACCATCTGTGTGGTGGTTGTGGCATCTAGCCACCTTCACGGCAGCTGTGGTTATCGTGGTGGCTGTGGTGGGCCACCCACATGGAGAAGATGTTTTTGGCCTGCTCCGTGGTGCTGACAGTGTGCCTGGTTGTGGAGAGTGTTTGATCCCTGGTTCCATGCCCCAGGTCTCCGAGTGGGTCCCGAGGTGCTGGCATGGTGTGCCTGGTTGTGAGAGGGAGGTTCAGTCCCCTTCTCCATGCCTCGGGCGGGCCCTGAGGAGCTGTCACTGTGTGCCTGGTTGTGGGAAGGGGGTCTGGTCCCCTTCTCCATGCCCTGGGTCCCAGGGCAGGCCCCAAGGCACTGGCGTGGTGTGCCTGGTTGTGGGAGGGGGGGTCTAATCCTCTTCTCCATGCCGTAGGTCCTAGGGCAGGCCTGAGGTGCTGGCGAGGTGTGCCTGGTTGTGGGAGGGAGGTTTGGTCCCCTTCTCCATGCCTTGGGCCCCTGGGCGATGCACTCTCCCAGCATGCCTTGTTGTGAGAGGGTGGGTCCAGTCCCAACTTCTTTTTTTTTTTTTTTTTTAAAAGATGATCAGTAAGGGGATCTCAACCCTTGGCTTGGTGTTGTCAGCACCACGCTCAGCCAGTGAGCAAACCGGCCATCCCTATATAGGATCCGAACCCATGGCCTTGGTGTTATCAGCACCGCACTCTACCGAGTGAGCCATGGCCCGGCCTAAGTCCCAACTTCTTATCCTGGGTCCCTGGGCAGTCCCTGAGGTGCTGGCGTGGTGAGCCTGGTTGTGGGAGGGGGGTCCGGTCCCCTTCCCTATGCCCCAGGTCTCTTGGTGGCCCCCAAGGTGCTGGCATGGTGAGCCTGTTTGTGGGAGGGGGGTCTGGTCCTCTTCTCAATGCCCCAGGTCCCTGGGCAGGCCCTGAGGCACTGGCATGGTGTGTCTGGTTGTGGGAGTGGGGTCTGGTCCCATTCTCCAAGCCTCAGGTCTCCAGGTGGTACCTAAGGTGCTGGCACAGGGTGCCTGGTTGTGGGAGGGGGATCCAGTCCCATTCCCCATGCCTCGGGTCCCTGGGTGGGCCCTGAGGCACTGATGCTGTGTGTCTGGTTGTGGGAGGGGGTTCCAGTCCCTTTCTCCATGCCTTGGGTCCCCAGGTGGGCCCTGAGGTGCTGGTGTGGTGTGTCTGGTTGTGGGAAGGGGGTCCAGCCCCTGGCTGTTAGCCCCAGGTTCCCAGAGGGCCCCTAGGCATTGGTGGTGTGCCTGTATGTGGGAGTGGGGTCCAGTCCTTGGCTCCAATACTCGGGTTCCTGAGTGGGGCCCCGAGGTGCTGGTGGTGTGAGTGGTTGTGGGCAGGGGTCCTGCCCCTGGCTCCATACCTCATGTCCCTTGGTGGGCCCCAAGGCATTCATGATGTGCCTGGGCCGGAATTAAGTTTTTGTCCTTTGCTTGCTTCTAACCTGGGGAACTTCCTGTGGGAACCAGTACTTGAGCTATGTGGTTGAGGTAAATTATCCTGGTGGGCCCCAAGGCATTCGTGTTGTGCCTGGGCCAGAACTAAGTTTTTGTCCTTTGCTTGCTTCTAAAATGGGGAAACTTCTTGTGGGAACTAGTACTTGAGCTGTGTGGTTGAGGTAAATTACTGCTTTGCTGCTGTTTCCCTGTGGAAGGCTTTTTGTGCAGCTCAGGGTTTAGTGGTTGACCTTATAGGTACTTCAGGCTCTCCAGAGACTGGGTGCACCTGGGTTGTGTAGAAACTCTGATCTGGGCCTGAGTTTTTTCATGAACTGCACCCCACGCAATTCTGCAATTCTGGTTGATTTGTGTGAGAGAGTGATGCTGGGGACTGTCTGTTCTGCCATCTTGACTGCAAGCTTCCTAAACTTTTCATTTTGAAAGAATTTAAAACTTAGAAGTTTGCAAGAATCGTGAAATAGAACCCGATGATGCTTCACCCAGATCACCAATTATTAGCACGTGCTAACATTTGCTTCATCATTTCTCTAAATATGTACACAAGTTACTGTTGCTTGTCCTGAATTACCTGAGAGTAAATTTGCAGACATGATGCCCCCTCCTCCAAATCCTTCAGTGTGTATTTCCTAAAAACAAGGACAGTCTCTTACATAACCACAGTGTGAACATCAAAATCAGGAGGAAATTTAACACTGCTGCAATTCTGTTGTCTAATCTACAGTCACTCACACTTTGCCAGTTGTTCCAGTAGTTTCCATGTCTCTTTAGTCACCTTTAATCTGGAACAATTCTTTCAGCCTTTCTTTTGCCTTTCATGACCTTGACATTTTTGAAGACCTTGACATTTTTTTTTTTTTCCTTTTTGTCATTTTTCGTGACCGGCAGCGGATCACAACCCTCAGTGTCGCGCCCGTACCGGACCAGGACCGGCAATGGGATCGCAACCCTCGGTGTTGCACCCGCACCTCGCTCAGCCAGTGAGCGGCCGGTCTGTATGTGGGATCCGAACCCTCGGCAGGAGCGCCGCCGTGCTCCCAAGCGGCGCACAGTAGCAGTGCGCCACCGGGCCGGCCCAAGACCTTGACATTTTTGAAGACCGCCAGCCTGTTAGTTTGTAGACTCCCCCAGTTTGGGTTTGTCTTCTGTTCCTTTGTAATTAGATTCAGGTGTGCATTTTGGGCAGGAATGTGGCGGAAGTGCTGTCTTTTTCGGCGCCTGGTGTTTCAGGCACTTGCTGTCAGTTAGTCCCATTATTGGTGATGTTAACTCTGATTACTTGGTAAAGTCATGTTGGCTAGATTTTCAGACTGTGAAGTTACTGCTTTTCCTTTGGAGTTAATAGGTCATTTGTGGAGAGCTGCTTTGAGAACAGGTGGGTATGGCCTGTTTCTTCCTTGAAGTTGTGTTTCAGGAGTTTGTGGGCTTGTCTTGTTCTAAGTGCTAAGATACTTGGGAGCAGGGGTGTTGATTTTATTCTCTACTTTTTGTTTGAGACCAGGGTCGCCATGCATTATTGAGTCTTAAGAGGCTAGTCTGTCTACAGGTGTGTATTGTGTCAGGAAGGGGCGGCCGGTCTGTATGTGGGATCCGAACCCTCGGCAGGAGTGCCGCCGTGCTCCCAAGCGGCCCACAGTAGCAGTGCGCCACCGGGCCGGCCCAAGACCTTGACATTTTTGAAGACCGCCAGCCCGTTAGTTTGTAGACTCCCCCAGTTTGGGTTTGTCTTCTGTTCCTTTGTAATTAGATTCAGGTGTGCATTTTGGGCAGGAATGTGGCGGAAGTGCTGTCTTTTTCGGCGCCTGGTGTTTCAGGCACTTGCTGTCAGTTAGTCCCATTATTGGTGATGTTAACTCTGATTACTTGGTAAAGTCATGTTGGCTAGATTTTCAGACTGTGAAGTTACTGCTTTTCCTTTGGAGTTAATAGGTCATTTGTGGAGAGCTGCTTTGAGAACAGGTGGGTATGGCCTGTTTCTTCCTTGAAGTTGTGTTTCAGGAGTTTGTGGGCTTGTCTTGTTCTAAGTGCTAAGATACTTGGGAGCAGGGGTGTTGATTTTATTCTCTACTTTTTGTTTGAGACCAGGGTCGCCATGCATTATTGAGTCTTAAGAGGCTAGTCTGTCTACAGGTGTGTATTGTGTCAGGAAGGGGCTAAATTGATGGGAGGGGGCTAGAAACCAGAACCTTTCCTTGACTAGTGTTCCCGGGCCGAGGGGGAATGTGGTAAATAAACGTGATCCTAGTGCAGGATCATGAGGATCATGATCTGGGAGGTGTCCACATCAGAGCTGGTAGGGCTCAAGGAAGGCCTCCTGGGGAAC